GTGCTTTTTCGATTTATAGAAGTTTTCCGTAATGGAGCGGAATGAACAAAATTTTCTTAAAGAAGTTTTCGAGTTGTAGAGATTTGATTTATCGAGGTTGGACTGAATAGTATTATTGTGCGTGTGAATAATAATATACAAATATTTTATAATAGATCCAGACCTAGTAGCAAAATGACAAAATACGTGGAATGTTGGGGTGCAGACAAACCTTTCGCTAATATAGCGGAAGCGACATTAGCGAAGAATATTGGCCTAACAGTAAGCTACTATTTTACTTCCCCAAATGGTTTTAACAAAATAATTAAAATATATTTATTTTTTTTGACAGAGCATTGCAATGATCGAATCGAATCTATTGGCAAACAATGGCAACTGCTTTGATACACAGTGAGTTAGTGTATTATATTTGCCATGTCAATATCATATCAATAATAATTAACATTCAACATCACGTTAATTACTCAAATTTAAATTAATAAGTTTAATGATTTAAATTTTCTCTCTTCTCTCCTTTATATCGTATGCAAATAAGTATTATTAGCATTTATTAATTACTTCAATGTATCTCTTAAAATAAATACAATTTTAAGATGATAAACAAAAATTATATTAATATTAAATCAAACACATAATTTGTAATGATTATAATCAAACACATAATTTGGAAATGATTTCGGTTTCTATGTAGACACTGGTGCGGTGGAAGTGAAGGAATTTCGCCGTTTACCTATTGGTTCAAGGATAAGAATCAAGAGCAGTTGTATAGAGAGCAGAGGGATGAGCAATATCTTTGGTACGTTGTGGCCTCCAATGTGGTTTACGCTATGATGTTCTGCATCCAGATCATCTATCTACCAAGGTGAATTACAATTTCATCGAATATTGCTAGTCAAATATTTGATATTTGGACCAGGATAAAATATCAATATTTGTATATCTTTACAAAATAAAATTATACTTATTACTTACTATACACTATTAGTTATGTAACTTTTATCTTTTTAACATTTATTAAATAAAATTATTATATTGTTATAGTGTTTATCTAATAATCAGATAACTTATTTTATAAAATTCGATTCAATCTGAGTTAATAAATAATTTTAATTTTAATTTTAAGTAATAAAATTTTGTTCTTTTTTAAATTAATAAAAAATTTGAACAATTTAAAATATTGATTTGTTAATCTCTTTTAATTATTGAATTCGTTGAATATAATGATATGTAAACTATTGAAATAAACAAACAAAAGGAATATTTTAATTTAATATTTTAAAAATCAATTTTATCTTTTGTTTTCACAGAAGCATCATAGTTTACGGTTGCTTTGCTGCTGGTATAGCATCTCTAATTATATTTGCTGCAATTTCTTGGTTCAGTGGAAAAACCGATTCTGAAAATACCGAAGAAACAACGAATCAAATTGCACTTAGCCGTGGTATCAGAATAACTGTGTATTTAATAACGGCACTATTAGCCATCGCATCATCAGTCATTAGTCTGATCGAAGTTGATCACATTGTTGGATACAATATTATACCAGTGCGTATATTTAAAATTAGTGTATAAATTATTTCATAAAAAAAAGAACATAGAACAGCTTTCAACAAATTTTTCTTTACTCTTAAAAATTATTACGTTTATTATAATATATAAATATTTTATGATAATATACACATAAATATTATATTATAATATACAAGTATTGACATTAAATTTTGAAATGTGATTACTATTAATATTAAAAATCAGAGATTTAAAGAGATATATATTTAATCAATTAATCTAATTATTTTTAACCGACAATATGGTGAAGAGACAACTGAAATGTTTCAACAATTTACACAAAAATTTTTATATAAGCTGTTCGAGGAGCGTGCTATATGAACGCTGTTACATCATTTCATCCTCGATGTGTTACGTATGTCTATAATTAATGATAAAAATAAAATTACATAATATAGCGCTGATAGCGCGCTTCCCGAACATTTACGATAAACTAAATTTTCCACTATTTATGTTATTTTCAATTATCTTTGGACGGTTATTTTCCAAAGAAAATATATTTGCATCGTTTTACACATTTTAAACAATTCTTTTCGTATTACTTACTGACGAAAAGTTTTAAAAAGCATTATTTATAATTATTTTTTTATTAACATCTAATTTCATTAAAGCAAAAATTTGTATCCTTACATGCTTGTTATGCGTTTTCTTTTAATAGACAAATAGACTAATTTTCTCTTAACAAACAATACTTTTAGGTATACATATATTCCCCAGTGATAGCGTTAGTAGTTGGTTGGACACACCTGAGGGTCGATTTCTTGCTGAAACTGGGCGTAATGCTCCTCTCCGTTGCCATAATACTCGTGATCTTCTCTCAAGCACCAGTAATTCAACTGTACTACGGCGAGAACCCCGACGTCAAGTAAGCGAGGCGCTCTGAAAACTCAAACATTGCATGTTATAAAATATAAATGGCAAGCTCGGTGAAAAAGTCTCGCAGTATTACGTGAACTACAGGTTTCTTCTTTCGCAGGTTTTACGGTGTCCATTATCTGCTGCAAGTGGGATATTTGCTGGTTCTCGTCAGCCTGATACTCCACATTCTCGACAGACAGGTGGAATACACGTCCAGAATGGATATTCTATGGAAGAGCAAGCTGAGAGTCGAGCAGGACGAGGTGGAGACTATGAGAGGCATCAACAAGATTCTCTTGGAGAACATTCTTCCAGCGCACGTGGCTGATCACTTTTTAGCTACGAGAGCTATGCAGGTCAGCTCTTAAAATTTTACTCTTCGGAATTATTTTCAACGTGTATCCTGCAATGAATTAATGCATTAAAGAGTGATAATTTTGATGAATCTAATTTACGTGTATATACCATAATTTGCGCTTATTAATTTACATAACTGATACGTAATTAATTCGATAAGCATTTAAAATATGTCATTAAAAATATTAAATGTTAAATTAAAATATGCCATTAATAAATATGTAGAACGCTCAAACTGGTTACTTATTTTAGGACAATAAATAAGAAAAAAAGTTGTCAAGATTTATAAAATTGGGAAAATTTTTATATAGGCTGCGTTCGAGGATCGTACTATATCAAAGCGTGCTATATCATTATCTAGGCTGTTACACCGTTTTGTCCTTAACGTGTTACGTTTAATTAAAATGATAAAAATAAAATGACATATAATAGCGCTGATAGCGTGCTTTCCGTATCAACTCTGTTACATTATTTTGTCCTCCACGTGTTACGTCTAATTAAAATAATATACAAATGAAATGACATAATAGCGCTGATAGCGCGCTTCCCGAACAAAGTCATATAGTTAAACTGTAAAAGTTTCCACTCGGATCTCCCAAGGCCAATAGTAGTAACTTAGGGTTAATGATAAAAATGTATAAGAATGTTAAAATAAAAAAAAATATATATATTGTCTTAATTAACAGGAACTCTACCACGAAAGATACAGCAGCATTGCCGTAATGTTCGCGTCGATTCCGAATTACAAGGAATTTTATGATGAAACTGACATAAACAAGCAAGGTCTCGAGTGCCTGCGTCTACTTAACGAAATCATTTGTGACTTCGACAAGCTCTTACTTAAGCCGAAGTTTTCGGGAATCGAAAAGATCAAGACGATAGGTAGTACTTACATGCTGGCGTCCGGTCTGAGCCCAGGAAAGGAGGGCAGTGACAGCAAAGTAAGATCATAAAGTTAAATTTTAGAG